TGTTGAAATATCCTTTGGCTTCTTGCATTTACTTAGTAGTGATGCAGCTTTGAAGTATCACCATGTCAACAAAATGTCGATGACAGCGTTTGGTACGCAGGACATGACATAACAAGAACATATTATCCCATGTTTGGTGCGACATTTAGACCYGGACATGATAGAAGYCCACCAAAATAGGTGGAACAAAAATCAGGGAGACGAGATAAGATTGGTAAATTACTAAAATGCCCATGTCAACTTAAAACTCTAAAAACCTTGCACAATATATCCACCCGCCTGCCTCACTCTCGCCCATCTTGTCTAGACACGTACCAACCTCACCCTTAAGAGAATATGATAAATTATAAAGAGGTAAAACCAATCAATGGATTATGTCATGCGAAGCATTGTCAAAGCTCTGCTCCACAAGCCCATGTTCTTCACTACACTCCAAACATTCAATCTTTGGACTAATTTGACACATGTTTACCTTGGTCTAACTTCCCTCTTTTGACACCCTCTGCATGGCATAAAATTTGGGATGCACTCTTCTCAAAGTTCACATTTTTGCTACACTAATTTCCTGTATATGCTATCTCTTGTGCCCTAAATTGTGACGGACAGTCGTTTATTGTCACCCGTCCCACAAAATAACGTTCAACTTTAGTGTTAATTTACAGTTAACTTCTAAGGTATGTTGCCAATTAAGCCACATTGGTCATATTATACAAATGATATCATCATTAATCTCCCTGTACTTTTCTTGTTATGATAAATAAAATGGATCTCGAATGTGGAGTGCATCTGCAATTGTCCTATTAGGTTTTCACTTATGTCTAGCCAATTTTCGGTTTGACAAATTTGATAATATTAAAAGAACATGCTAACAAGTACTTGGTAACAACCATTGGTGGAGATATGGTCTTCAATATTTCATCTATGTGTTACATGTGGTAATAGGCACTATTAGTAGCTGATATTTGTTGGAGCTTTTATAAAACCAAACCAAACGGACCAGTATTCCCCACACAGAGGTAGGGTCTAGGGTGAAACATGGCGACTTCCGCAGGTTCACCCTCTTGGTACTACTCTCGTGCAGGCACGCTTAATTGCGAAGTTCTAACAAAGTCCGGTGCATTAGTCTTAGGTAGGGTCTGGGGTGCACCGTGAAGACTTCCCAGGTTCACCCTCCTAGTATTACTCTCGTCCAAGCACACTTAATTGCAAAATTCTGATGGAATCCGGTGCATTAGTGTTAGATTGAAGCATGCTAATTTCATGTAAAATGCAGGTGACGGCTACTTTGTCCCTCGCGGCTGCTTGTTCATCAGCTGGGATCGTGGTACTATACGCAAGAGACTTGCATTTCTGCAACAACTCTAAAATGCATCTCCCATGCAACAGATTTGAGATCTCAATAGCTATGGCTTTCATAACATGGTTCTTTATTGCCATATCTTCTCATGTTATGTTTTGGTTATTAGCCTCTGCTTAACCAACCATCGCTGACCGGCCATCCGTTCACCTGTTTTCCGTGAAAAAAAAGTTCTTGCTTAACTCGTGTGTGTATTTCGGTTGTTAAGAATTATTCAAATTTTGATCCTGCAGCATTGTATTTGTCAATCCTGTGTTTTGTCATTGGTTTGTACCTTCAAAATGAACATCCGAACTCCCGACTGGAAATGAAAATGATGGTTTATGTGTTGTAGACAAGCACGATGGCGGTTTGTTGATGCTTGAACCAATTGATCTTGGTGGTGTTCTATGAACTTCAAACATGGTTTTTAATTGCGGTTTTTTTTGGGTAACCGTGGTTTCTGCGCCAGCTTACACGAACCGACAAATACCCTGGGTGACCATGGATGGTCTAGAGTTATCACAGGTGAACATATAGGAAAATGCCATAAAAGGATATATTGGTCATTTATCATTATTATACTACAATTTTGAAATTATATATATGGAACCAAATATATGGATTCCAA